CGTTTTTTTGGGGGGTCGACGATATTCGAATATACTTTGCTTTTCAAATTCCCATCCCTTATAGAGTCCCTGCTATCAAGATTGGATGCAAAACAACGGTTAAATTGACCGTTTTTTTAGGAGAGATTTAGGAAAAAAAGCCGCGTTTCTCGGTTTTAATGCCATTGAAACACAACTTTTGATCAGGAATAACAGCTAAAGGGTTGGATATATTCTCCGGTTTTGCTCCTAAAGCTTACGTGTTGTGTATTTGCTTCCCCTGTCCTGTCTCGATTCTATCGCTCAGTGATGATACTTATAGTTCGTCCAATATGTGGAATCTCAGGCATGTTAGCTAAGCTCTGTTTGTGCAGATCGATAAGTATAGCGATCGATTTATTACCTAGAGTTTTGTGCTAACGTGCGTTAGCATGTTTCGCTCAGGGCTCATTTAGCCCTTCTTGTGAGGACTTGTGCTTTGTTTTGGTAAAATGGTTCGTTCATCAGTTAGCTGAGTTTCTTCCCGTTATGAGGGTATGAGCACCATCATAGTTTTAGAAATATTAGAAGCCCTGAGACACAGTGGGCTGTAAAAAAACCTGTTAAGACCCTTGCCGGGCGGCGCAACGGGCTTCGGGTCTGTGTCTTAACGGTTAAAGAATAAAATAAAAAAACACTTATAAATAGTAAAACCAGATAACCGGATAATTTTGCTGTGGGTCTCTTAATTTCTAAACAAGTGCTGTATGTTTTTTATTGACTGACCCGGAAGTTTAGCCATTCTTTAGGGGCCGTGGGCAAAAGAAGCCAATGAGGAATTTATTAGTGGATTTCGAAAAACTCATAAAATAAGATCTTTGGCACACACATGTACTTACACATTTTGTGAGCAGAATAATCACAACCAGGTAAAACCAGGTTTTTAATTTTCACGAAAATGGAATGCCAGAAGTTAAAAAGCTAACGCGGTACGATACCACCACACCGTAAGCTAAAGGTGGCTAGTACGCGTGTGATGCGTTAGTAGTCTCATTTAGCACTGGGTCGTAAAACATAAAGTGGAAAATGGTTTGTGTTCTATAGAGCTGGTGCAGGGATGACGTATTTTTGTAGGCCGACCCGGACACCCGGAAGTAAGCTGCGCATGGGTTTCCCTCGACAAAAGCAATGGGAGTTTCTCCATAGGAGATTTTTAAGAGCTATAAAATAATGGTAAAAACTGTGCAAGAGCACAGGTATTTTGTTTCAAGCAGAACAGCGCAAAACAACTTAGCGGGAGTGTTTACGTTCGTTCGGTAATGATAGCAACGTCCTGACGAATTCCTGTCCTATTCAGTCCCACCTGTTAACCAACCATCGTTTTTCAGCACGTAACTCTTCAAAATCACTCAGTGGGGTGTTACTGCTGATGTATTTAATGTCGTAGAACATTTTGCGTAGAATTGTGTCACCCGCTGACCTTTTTCGAGCTATTTTCCAGAATCCTATCGCGAGAAATCCCATCGACTCTGAGACGACGGGAACCGGTAGTGGTAAATGCTAACTCAGTTCCGGTGTTTTGAGACTCGTTCCTGCACCACTTATTCCGCAATCTAAACCGAAAATAGTTAGAACAAGAGAACAGAAGGGTGTCTGCTTTAGGCGTTATACAAACATCCTAAATTTATGAAAAAAAAATACGAAACCTAGGGTTAGTTTAAGATTCTGTGTTGTTTCGTCCACCCTTTGTTTCTTCCCCACATCCATCAGGAACAGACCACCTTCATCTGTGTGTGTATCGCTGAATTTCCTCTCCCTGTTATGAGGGACGGGAGCGGCTGATCCAGGAGCTGGCCAATGCCGCGATCGACGACGCACACATCTTCGTCAACCAACTTGTTTTCCCCGAAGCGAGAGGGCCGCTGCAAAATTGTGTGAAGCCCGTCATAAATACAGTCCAAGTATTTAGACCAGGTACGTGAAGCACGACATGGATTTTTGGGGGTTGTGACTCTAGGCTTAAAGGTTTGTTAACGGGTTGCCCTCCCCCTCCAGGATGGAGGATCTTTACGAGTTTCCACATAATCATGAGTTACGCTGCTGCCACACGAGTCAGAGGAGCCGAGAAAGGTCAACACGTTCATCTCAGGCAACTTCTGGATCCCTACAAACACCCCCGAACAAGTGATCTCCTTTCTGCAGGACTCCTTTGCTGCTGCCCCCACCACCCCCCCCCGCCACCAGACCACACCTTTACAGACCACACCTATCCAGCCTCAAACCCTGCAGCAACAGCCACCAATTGATCCCCTCAAAGTCTGTCAACCAAAAGCAAATCACTGCTACAGCAGGACACTCGCGCTCACAAAATCACAAACACACATAACCTGAAATATTGTTGGAGAGGTAAGACGGCCCATATTTGTGCTGCCTTACCTCTCACTTCTCCTTCCTTCATATCTGCCTTGTGGCATTCTTACTTAAAGCATTTAACTTTCTCTCTAAAACTTCCCTTCCTCCTCCATCACCTTGAGTGTTCCCAGTGATGGAGCCCTTTGTTCCAGGATAAAACAGCTTTCAGGCGCTCAATGTTTATGCCTTGTTTATTCTGTGTGGTTTCGGTGGCTGTGTGTGTTCCCCAGTTTGACTTTGGACTCAAATTTCATGCAAATTCTTCTGGAATTTACATCAAAATATCTAAAGATTCAGGGTGTGTAGCAGGACAGTAGAGTGGTTCAGTGATGACGTCTTTGTTTAGGACAACCCAGAAGTAAGAATTAAAGGTGGTCCCTCGACAAAAAGCAAAGGGGTTTTTATATTTTCTTTTTCGGAATATTCTAGAAATGAGATCTTTGACAAACACAAGTTTTTGTTACTTAACACGTTTTGTTAAGCAGGATAATCACCCCATATTAACACTGCTTTATGGTTTTTGAAGTGGAAGTGCAATCAGCAGAAGTAAAAAGCTAATGTTGCTATGAATGAACTGCATTTAGTTCCCATGATTTCCTCTCACAAATGCTACGCTAAGGGGGGGCTAATGTTCAGCGTGATGACATTTAGTAGTCTTATGTGGTCACTGTCATTTTTTCATGACAAATAGAAGATTTAAACATCCACGAGTGGGGTTTCTACTGACGTATTTAACGTCTTAAAAAAAGTAAACATTTCTTTGGCTGGTATTAACCACAGACCTCTAACCGATGTAGACATCTAACCCACTTGACTTAGAGACGAGAGAACCGGTAATTCTAATATGCAAACACATTTCTGGGATTTAGGACTCATTTCTGCACCACTCTATAATGAAAAAATATTCTATCTCCTTAAAAAAAAATGTTATTGTAATAAAGAAAGGCAGAGCAATCCGAAGTGTTTATTTTACCATGTGTCAAATCATTAGACCTTGCTGTAACCTAATGTTGATGGGATTTTGAATCAAGTCAAGTTTGGAGATCAGTATCCATATATGGCCATGTCATTGTTTGAACTGGACAGTCTTAATGTTACATATTTGAGGCCTCTGTTGTTGGAGCAGCACCAGATCTTATGAGATTTAAATTCTAAATGTGAAAAGACTCTTGATGTTTATTTGACTGGAAGCCAAAAAGAGTGTCACAGCATCACCCCATACAATGCTCAGCAAACATTTTGTGTCCATGGACTTTATGGGAACACTATTACATTAGTAGCCTTATTAGTGCATTGTTAATATAAATATATTGAATGTTGCTTGATCAGTTGTGGAACAGATGAATGGCGAGTAGTTTAAGAAGAATCAAAGCACCTCTGCCCTGTGATTGGCTCCTGGACTGTGATTGGCTCGCCCGATACTTCCAACAAGTTCCTAAAGGAAATGGCCCTCTTTCTGTCACTGAATGCTTTTGAGTCAATCTGTTTTCTAAAGATTTTTTTCTTTAAATTATACTGCGAGTGTTAATTAAAACTAACTTGCATCAGACGAGAGCCTTTTGTCGTTTATTTAGACCTGCACAGTGCTTATTTAATGGCAGCATGACGCCTCAGATAACACAGCAAATCAGGAGAGACCTCCTTCTATGAGAAGGATACAAAATATCCCTTATAAGCATTAACTATACATATTTGAATGGCGCCTGAGGGGTTCAAAGTCACTTTACATAAAATAAATCAAAATAAACAAACAATAGAGTCCAATATGTCACACACATAAGGCAACGAGCACCACAGGCACAGCTCTGTTCAAAACATCCAAAGTTATTAGGAGTCATAATAAATGATGTCCTTTTGAAAAACATGTCCTGGTGGGAAATTGGATTGCTAACAAGTGGGATTATTAAAGCCCACATGGATTATTTTTCCAGCATGAAAACAAAGAAGTTTAAAGGCAGGAAGACTTCTTTTTTTTTACACAACTTGTTTACTGTAAGAAATGTATACACTTTGTCTGGATATTCAACCATAATGATAAACCTGTAGCCATTGAAATTGCTTGTTGTTTTCATATCACTTCACACGACAGTTATGCGGTCCACTGGCTGCTGTTTCATAACTCCCCGGTGCTGTCCGCTCCGTGGCCCCGGCGCTGCGGCCTGTCGCTTGCGGTCCATCACCGAGCCGCGCGTCCCGGTCGGGGGCCGCGCTAACGAGCTCCTCCTCCTCCTGGTTTGGGGGATTTACCCCGGGGCGCACTGACCACTGGGCGCACCGAGGAGGCTCGGGGATTACTGCCATGCAGCCGACCGAGCCGCGAGTTAACCGAGCTGACGCCAGGGGACATCAGGGTTATGAGCTCTTCGGGGAAAAAAACTCCACTGGCGAGCGCAGAGAACACTATACCGTTAAGTGAACATGTGAATTCACTTCTCCACCGGTGCCAATTACGCACAGAGATGCGCTGAGCAATTGGACACATTCATCAAGAATAACACTTCACAAGGTAAGGAGATATTCTTCCAAGACGAAATAGAAATAAGGGTATTTTGTATCCTATTGGAATTCACTTAATCTGTGAAATGACTAAGAGAGTTGTTTAGGTTTGATCTGTCCTTGGCCTCATAGCAGGAGTCTTTTCTTCCATGCAGCTCTTTTATTGAAGACCTTGACATTTGCTGCCACCAATGACTGTCACATACACAGCCAGAGTTGCAAATGCCCGTTTCTGTGGCTTCTCCAAGCTGCTGCTGGCCTGGAAGGGCAGCATCTACAAGGTGTTGTATAAAGAGTTCCTGGCTTTCTTTGCCATGTACACCGCCATCAGCATCACATACAGGTGAGACAGAGCGAGAACAACTTAAGGGAACATCACTGCTTTGATTTAAAATGACTTTGTATCACTGTTACTCTTTTAGATTTGTCCTGTATGATGATCAGAAGAGGTACTTTGAGAAGCTGGCAATTTATTGCAACCACTACGCCAGCCTCATCCCCATGTCCTTTGTTCTGGGTGAGTACTTGTCATGTTCTTATCCACTTTGGGATAACAATAGATGGGACAGTATTTATCTGTATGTCCCAGACCTTTGTTCTGTGTGTTGTCCGCGTCTTTGATGTTTGACTCAGAAGTATTTTTGCTAAATAAAACAGGATGGGGTCAGAAATGTACGCAACAACTTTTTTTTGGTTTCTATGTTAAGGACTTTCAGCTGTAGACCTCAGAATATATGTTGAGTTATTGCAATGGAGGTATAAATACAGCCAAATAACAAAAATATTGATTATCTGACTCATTTTGAGCTTTAAAGGATTGTGAATAGTTTAACTATGGAGAGCAAAGAAAATCTATTAAAATATCCTTTGCAACCACCACTTTTACTGAATTGAAAGTGGATTTTCTGCTTTGTACTTTAAGCGTTTCTTTAATATATACTAAAATACTTCCTAAGGCTTACATACAGTAGAGCTTTGTTGAGTGGTCGACTGATTAATTTGTCAGAAAAAAATGACTAAAAAAAACTATTTTTCTCATAGATTAATCTTTAGTATTAAGCTATTCAAATAGTATTAAGTGACTTTTCATGGAATAAATGTATTGGACTACAAGCCAGTGGAATAACAATACACTCAGCACTTTAACTGACTGCAAATGAGCCACTTTTAGACTACTGTAGATACAAAAAATGTATTGTGTATTGTGTATTAACTGTATGTTGTTTGTAAACTGAGTGTCTTTGTATTTTGTAAGAAAGACACATTTCCACATAATGGGCAATAATCTGAATGGGAATATTATATCATATCAAAGTGAAAATCAAAATAAGACATTGATAAACCCCACCTTGGACTTTGAGAGGGATGTACATGTTGACTGTATTGACATTTTGTAGACCAACAATGAATTAGTCTAGAAAATAATTGGCTGATTACTAAATTGTGGAAAGTATCTTTATTTGCAGCCCTAGTGTAAAGTATATAATGAGAATCAGTATCATGTATCGGTTGGGCTCCATAGCAGAAATTATGTAACAGTCAAGCACACATTTCCTATATATTGCTTGGGGCCCCTGAGGCCCCTGGAGAACTGTCCTCTTAACAAAGTATTTCTAGAATTATTCAGAATAACCCCCTGTGTCTCTTCTCCATCGCTGTGTGCAGGTTTCTATGTGACCCTGGTGGTGAACCGCTGGTGGAGCCAATACACCAGCATCCCACTCCCTGACCGGCTCATGTGCGTCCTGTCGGGGGGGCTCCAGGGCAGCGACGAGCGGGGCCGCCTGCTGAGACGCACCATGATGCGTTATGCCAGTCTGTCGGCCCTGCTCATCCTCCGCTCCGTCAGCACCGCCGTGTTCAAACGGTTCCCCACCATGGACCATGTGGTGGAGGCTGGTGAGTAGCTGCCAGGACCGGGGGGTGGAGGTGCTGGGGTCCATATCATACAACTATCCAAAACATTTTAAATGGATACAACTTAATAATTAGTCAAACTCAACTTTATTGTCAATCTTCTGTTTGTGTGATACAGACAGGGAGATCGAAATGCTGTTTCTTACAATCTAAAGGAGTAAGAATAAAACTATATAAAAAAAGATATACATACACATCTGTACACCCACATATATACATAATCAGACGCATATATATATATATATATATATATATATATATATATACACATACACACACATATATATATATATATATATATATATACACACACATATATATATATATACATACATACATACATACATACATACAGTATGCACACATTAAGAGGCATAAATAAAAAGGCACACAAATATAAGCGCAGCCTAAAGGCAGGACGGTGACCACATCTTTTGACATGTCATTCTCCTTTGTTGTTGTGACTAGCTGTGTGTGACACGATGTGCAGGTGGCTGGAATAGTCGTGGCACATTTGAGGACACGTCTATGATTGACTAATATACTCTTCACATGACCGATTTTAACCACGGTAACCGGCGATGCAGACGATACCTGTCAGTAACATGATGGAATCTATAAAATGATAACCATTTATATAAGTAGGTAAAACTTCACTGACAAT